GCCTGTCGGCCGAGACAGTTTGCGCTTATTCATATGGCTCATCATGTGGACCAGCCAGGTCGGCATGGAGGTATACCTTATACAAAGGAGGCCAGGTGATTGGGACTGACTCTGGTCCATTGCTGGGGGCGGAGTTTTATGATGCCGAAATCTTTGGGGCCCAAAAAGCCCTAGAAAGAGCCTTAGGAAAAGCAGGCAACTGCCCGATCAAGGTGCTGCTTGACAACACTACAGCCGTGAGAGCTCTAAGAACCGGTCAAACAAAATCTTCCAAGGAAGCAGTGGAAGTATTTACGAGACTGGCACGACAAGCTAGATCAGTTGAGATCCGATGGATACCAGCCCACGCTGGGATCATGGGGAACGAAGATGCAGACAGACTGGCTAAGGAAGCCCTCAGGAACCTTCCGGATGAAACGGACACATCCCCCTCAGAAATGAGGAATAGAACTAAATACACTTTCGCTGCCCTCACTCGGTTTGTCAGGCAAAAATGTGATGAAGCAGTGGAATCCTGGTGGCAAGATCACAGACCGAGCCGCTACGAGGAATTGGATCTCCAGATGAAACGAAAACGTCCGCCGGAACTAGCACTTCCAAGGTGGGCGCATCACCGCCTTATTGCAGCAAGGACGGGACATGGTGATTTCATAAAATATCATAAAAGATTTGGCCACGAATTTGAAAACTGCAAATGCGTGTGCGGAAGAGAGAAACGCCCTTGGCATTTTGCCGAATGTCGAATTGCTCTACAGCAATGGAGAAACTTGAAGCATGAACCACCACCGAGAGGACGGGAGATGCTGGCAGAATAGGGTTGGGAAAGATTTCTCCAGTTCTTAGCAGTAACTAAGTGTTACGAGAGGCAAACAATACACCGGGAGGATTAAGTCCTGCCGAAATTTAAGTTTTTCAGGACAAAGAGTCGTGAGGAAGGAGGAAAGGCGCAGGGCGCTCAATTTTCTTGGAACTAATGTCTTTATTTATGTTTTGGGTATAGATTTGACAAGCAAACTATGTACTTAGGTTGTAGTGTGTCCCGAGGGAGCATAGACCCGTATCACGCCTATTGGGTGTAGGGCGTAAGTCTGATACGAAATGAATTCAAATCAAACAAATCAAACGATTCGCCAAGATGAGAAAAGATTACGCACCTTCATCTGATACTTACCAACCCTTGTCAGAGGAAGCCAAAAGGCTCACACCCAAGATATCATTGCTACAAACAGACCAGCCTTAAAATCTCAAGGGCATAAGTCCAAACATGAGAAATGTATACATTAGTTTTCAGCTGTATCATCTACCATATTTGTACATTAAATCATTTAAATGGTAATATTTCTCGAAAATAAACGGTTCCAAGTAGCCTAATTATTGATTGGACAAAAATGCTACACCACACATCAGTTGCGAAAAAGAAATATTTCATAACAACAGGAAAAGATTGTTGAAGCTTTGTCGTTTAGTGATAGAAATGAGATTGAGGTTTATGGGTCACGATGTATGAGATAACTGAGATGTGGATGTTTGAGTTCCTTACTATTATTGTTGAACTAGATTGGGTTGTGTTTTCCATATACAAAAGGGATTTCTTCATCTACAAGTGGGCCAGATCGCTTAGACCTGACTAGCGGCTTTCGCCATCCTGTTCCTTCTCCCCCGCATGGCATTACGTGCTATACAACTACTGCTCACCATGAAGATCGAGGATGAAAAGCGTTAGATTACAACAAAGATTACTGTTGATAAATTGAAATCCGCTGTAATTTACTCATGCAAACACTCCATAATTGCAAAATACACGTATCAACCGATCAAGTTGTCGGTAAAAGGATCACATTTGGGTAGTGTGAATTGTTCTATGTATTTGCGATATTCAGGTTGTCGTTAGGACACTGGCAGGGGTCTGATTTAGCTCATTAGCGAGGCGCTTGGAGTAGAGGAAGGAAAGGGAGATGGAGAAGGAAAAGGAGAGACAACGTTTTATGTATATCGAGATACCAGTTAATTGACATTATTCACCGACTTCGTGACGGCACCCAATTTGTGTTACTTCGTGTTTTACCAACACAAGTCAAGTTCCAAATTGAAAACTCTGTTTAGGAAACTGATCTGAAAACTATATCTAGATTAACCAGCCTCGAGAGTTCTAGACTCGTGGGTTGTAATTTGTAAATCTCCAAATTGATGTCACTTTTCAGCTTCATCGCTAAAGTGGTGCATCATTTTTGTTCAAAGAAAATTATGAACAACAATGAGACATAGGTCATCTAGACCGTTTTTCCAACTTTCATTGCTGCCATCATAGAAGCTCAATCTTTTCTTCTTATGTGGGATCTCAAAGAATCACTGCATTCGAAGCGACATCGAAAGCGAACAAATGCGTTTCTGAAATCAACGAGTTCTCACAAATTTCGGACCTATCATTCTTGTACGAGTTCTCCAACTCAATCTTAACACTAATAAAATCAATTCAACATATGGTCAAGGACCGGGCCGAATTTCAGACTGAGACTTGCCTCATTTACCATAGACAAAATTTCCACTAAATGTTTACTAAGCTACGGAAGTCTCTAAAAAGTAAAATAAGTCATCCATATCGAAGTTTGAGCTTTAACTTAAGTGGTATAATATTTTCCATATTGAAATAGAGATGGAGAAAGGAAAGATGGTTTATGAGTGGATCCAGAGAAGAAAAAGTCATTGATGGGCATACCGGGAAAACTGTTTCTCGTTTGAGTGTCAGCCTTTGGATGAATATTGGCGCCAAGGTCGAAATTTCAGATAGTACTGCCGAAGCTTTCAAGAATTGACGCGCAATGCTTCTGTTGGTGGAAAGAAGAATAGACAAATGACTTTATTCATCACCAACTCGGTTTCCGTCACACTGTATCTCCTTTATGCGCCGTAATGCCACACTGCTATAACAACTACCTGTGCACTAGCTACTGTTGAAAGGCTATGCTGAGCTGGAATGACGTACCGTTGGGATGAAGGTATGGAAGGAGGTAGCTATGGCTTTAAGAGAAGTAAAGTTCGTGAGTTATACTCTTAGGACTTGGATCAATGGACGAACTTGAGGATATTCCCTAGTATTCTAAAGTGTGTGAATAATATGGAGATTGTTTGAATTTCCTATTGAATGAGTTGCTTAAGTTATCTACGTGACAGGACTTTCTTCTATATACATGAATAAGGGGGTTCTGCACACTAGTGGATGTTCCAACATCTGTCCTTGTCTAACCGAGAAATGAAGGATGTGAGAGATCCTAGCGCCAATAGATACCATTAGGAATCTATTGGGAAATACTATGTCATACCAATGAGTGATGATTTAGGTCAATCATATCCCATGGCGCATGTGCACATTATTCTAATGTGAACAGTTTATCGTAATGCAGTCATGTTACTCCCTTAATTGCAACAAGAAGTAGCTAGAGTTAGCTTTTCTCCTCATATAGTTTATTAAATCGATTTATTCATCACCAACTCGGTTTCCGTCACAGATGCAAAAAAATGAATAAAACCACAGAAGAAAACTTACACGCGGAGTCCCGTATTACAAAAGAAAAACTAGAAAAAATTCACTTCTATTGTTCTGCCCGAGCCTTTATGTTAATCTCTCTTCCCATGCCAGACCTCCTTGACAGTGGATCTATGACCTCCGAGTCGCAGATATCCCAGCCATCACCCGACTAACCACCATGTATATTACGCTCTTGTGGATGTAATACATGAACAACCGCCATCCACTTGATCTGAGCAGGGATTACAGCGCCGGTGCCATCCGTCTTCCGCTTTTCAGCCGGTATGTCGTTAGTGCTTTTCTACACTGGAAAAGGTGATTGATTGTTTTTTCTCCGCCACACTCACAGTCAATTGTGACTGTCGTATGATTGAAGCGGCAGTGATACGCCGCAAATTCACTGTGTCTTGTTCGGGCAGCGATCGAGCGAGCGTAAACCGCTCTCGGGAGCGCTAGTTCTGGTGGTTTCTTGCGCCGCATCTCTAGTTCAAGGTTGGCGTAGCGTTTGGGGCGATTTGAGTGCCACCAGTCTCTCACCATTTGCATAGCCAGTTGGCGAGCATAACGTCCTGACGAAGCAAGGATCATTCAATCATTTGTCATCCTGGCGTTATCTGGCGAGTCAAGCTCTCTTCGAGCAAGCCTGCCCGCTATCTCTTGTCCTGACAGCCCTGAGTGTTCATGGATCCTTTCTACTTTTACGGGTGAAGCTGCTATTGCGGCCATCTTCCTGAACTTTTGAATCCAGCTAGATGATGATGAGGTAGTTAATCCCGTCAATAGTGCCTGAACTACTGAATCTCCGGTCTCGTTTCTTGGTATTTATTGCCTCAAGAGCAGCCCTAGCCTCATGAACCTCCGCGTCATATACTTCCGTATTCAGGACTTTTGCCGAGCCGCTTTGTTCAATGCCTGTTCCAGTTGCACTGACAAAGGCCACGATTGACCATAGAACCAAGTCAGTAGACGCTCCGGAATAATCACTGTTAGCACAATGACAGTCGGATGGCAGGGTCGTAAGCCACTATGCTTTGAAATTAGCTGCTTCTTCCTTACTTGTCCAACAAAGCTTTGATTGGCTAGTGCCGGTGATCGAAGGGTGAGATAGTTCTGTATATTATGAGAGACGGAACATCCTCTGAACCCTCGAATCATGAACTCGGTCGAGGCCGAGTCTGCTTTAGTTGCATGCCAGTGGTCCAAAGCAGTGACGGGCATTATCGGTGGTTTCCATAGCTCGGAGTCGAAGCAGATGGTAGCAATCTAGTCTACGAATTCGGGCAGTAGTCTTGGGCCTAAATTCCTCGAGAATAATGTGTGCTGGTGGAATGCCGGCCTCTCTTATTAGAACTGTGATGGGAATGGTGCGCTGGTGGCGTTTGGGGTTTCGAGTCAAGCAATAAGCTGACTAAGCGGCATTTCCTAACAATTCAATATGGACCATATTCTCAGAAGGACTTGCGGATTCGAAATAATGGAGACTATACACGCACCTACTCTGCCCTCGGGAAGCAATTCGAACACAGTACAAGGCGATGGTATTCAAACTGATGGATTCACATTTGCTCAACTCCAGGCTAAAAAGATGGATATGGAAGCTAAACTACAGGCTTTGGGGAGTGTAATGGATTTAGTGCGTTCTGGCGTATGTACATCAGACATTTCTGACTATGAAAGCACGAAGTGGACATGAAGACGCCCCTAATAACGCAAGATGGGTTTCCTCGAGCTGATCTTGATGTCGCACTCAGTAAGTTGTCTCATGTAGTGAATCTGCCGTAATAATTGAGTATAGTTCGGACCACTCGGGCAAAGATTATACACATTCAAAACGATTTGAAGTCCCTCATGAGTGTGATTGAAAGGCACATTCATGCTTATTTTGCCAGCAAAGGTCAGGATGATGTAACCGAAGATTCTGAATTAAAATCAGATTTAAAAACTACAACCTCTTCACCTTCTCACACTAACAAGCACACTCTTGCCCGATGTTTCGCCAAGGTCAACAGTATAGTTTACAATAGTCCTTCAGCAGCTGCTGGACTCCAGATTGGAGATAAAATTAGTAGCTTTGGGCACATAAACTTCTCAAATCATGATCGTTTGAATCAAATTAAAAACCTAGTACAAGAAAGTGAAGGGGTATGGGCAGCTAAAGGCTATCGTCAACAGATCAAAACTAACAAGTTATAGCGACTAATTCACGTGCAAGTGATGAGAGAATCAAAGTGCGGACAAATCCAAGAACTAACGCTATCGCTTACACCAAGTAAAAGTTGGGGCGGAAGAGGATTACTTGGATGCCACATTTTACCTCTTTAAAGGATGAAAACCCGCTGATTTCTAGTCTTAAAATATCTCAGGATCTCGGTAATTAAGTCCTAGTAAGTCACCATTCAGTTATTAGTTAAGAATTTCTCGATATCAGATTTTATGACTAGGGCTCCGTTACTGCCTCAATTAATATTGGGTGAAAAAAGAGCCAGGTTTGCAAAAATGGTTTCACGTGGCCCAAGGGGAGTTCAGCAGACCAAGCTTGTGATTAGACATTTTTAATTTTACGATTAATAAAAGAACACCGGCTTTCATGACGAGTTGCGTGGCTTACACACAGCTCATTTCATCATATCAGCCTCGTGAGGTCTATATTATATCCTTTGCCAATCCCGTGCCAGAACAAAATTATCCGTACGATACCATGGTGGATGTAGGAGCTGGTGATGTGTATAATTGCGGAATAAATGGGTTTAAAAAGATACCTCTGATAAGAAACAATAATGGCAGTAGATTTGAGACGACTCCAAATGCGAAAAATTTAGAAATTCTGTGGATTAACTGAAGAAAATCGAGCAGATTGTCTTGAGAGGAGTAGAATACTTACCCACCATGGATAAGATCAGTAAAAGTGTTTAGGCCTATGAAAATTACAAGAAGGCCCGGAAAGAATGGCTCAAATACGTCACTTGTCGAGAAGAGGATGGTGACTACGGAGCAGTCTCTTAAGAAGAGCTTAGTGGATCCCCTTTAAATACGGACCAGCAACAGTTCTGAGGACACTTAATCCACGGTTTTACGCGTTGGTCATCGCGTTGTCTGCAACAAAAGTAGTGGTCCAAATCAGAATCTATGAAACGAAAAATATGTGGCCATAAAATCTAATTTCAAAGAAGAAAAGGCACTTTAAAAGAGCTAACGCTATTCGCCAAATAAGAAGCACCAACACCGAGTTATTTGTACAGATGACTCCCTGGAGAGAGGTGGCACTCATCACTTCACGATCTACAAATTCAAAATCTCAAGCCAGATTTCCTGATCGAGATATTAAGAGTTCCTTTGAGTACCAAATTCGAGAGAAGTGGAGATGCTAATAATACTTGTATCATTAAGGAGATTCTGGCAGCATTCGGGGCCAAAATTCACTGGCACATGATTGACCGAATCTGATGATTACATAAAGGAAAAGAGCAGCTAAAGTCGAAGAAAAGCTGTCGCACTAGATGACCAAGAGTGTCCGATAGATCTTCCGAGACAATACAAATGAAAGTGTTTAAGGTTTAAAGAATTTCAGAAGTACTTTAAAGACGATAACTCAATGTGAATTGATAATTTATCACTTGGGAACCTAATATACTACGTCGTCTCCCAAATTTATGTCCTCTGCGGAGACTAGTATCAATTCCCCATCTGGGTCATCTGAGAATACTCCTTTCCCCTGCACCGTACTGTCTGAACACACTTCTACAGTGATTGCTACAATACAATTTGGTTGATATGAGAACGTATATTTCATTATATCTTGTCTCTCTCCTTTATACGGCCTAGGCATGTTTGAGTTCTGGTTTGGCTGTGTATGACTATAGGGCCCGTCCTTGCTTCGTGGGCGCAGGCTAGTGGGTGAATCTACGTATGGTACTGAGGTATTAGTAGGTCAGGTCTAAAGCCCAGGAGATCTGGAACACGCATTATTTTTAGAGAGCGCCATAGCTTTCTGCTTCTAAATTTCCCATAGGAAATATAAACGTATGATTGTGGAATTTGATTTTGATTAATTTATCGTCGCGCCTGTCCACAGCTCGTGACTTGTTGGTAAAACACGAAGTAATACAAATTGGGTGCCGTCACGAGGTCAGCTGTCCGTCACGAAGTCGGTGAATAATGTCAATTAACTGGTGTCTCGAAATACTTAAAACGTTGTTTCTTTTTTTCTTTATCTCCCCTTTCTTCCTCTACTCCAAGCGCCTCGCTAATGAGCTATGTCAGACCCCTGTCAGTATCCTAACGACAACCTGAATACCGCAATTATATAGAACAATTCATACTGCCCAAATATGATCCTTTTACCGACATGACTAATGTCACGCACTGGATGGCTCAGTCCCTACAGTGCTACCTGACGCTCTAGCGCGCCCTACAGCTCCTAGTAGTCACAAAACAGTCCGCCCCGGAGGACGAAGTCTGAACACCTGTCATTGGTGTCCTCTACGAACCTGGGAGTGAAATATTCTCCCAGAGCCGAGATTCAGTCACGACAAAGGGTGAATTTGAGAGTTTTCGTCAAGTTGGCGATCGGGAAGAGTGATGTTGGCTCATTTTTGGTCGAAAATCCGACTTGCAGAGATTTCACGACTGCAAAACTCAACGAAATCACCCATCTACACCCCAGATACAAACCACAGACAGGCTATAACCTGTCTGATGTTCGTATCGCAAAAACTGACACCTTCATGATATTTTTTCCTTTTCTCTGGAAAATCATTCCCAGCCAAACTCATCTCGCGGCCCTCTCAACAATCATCTCATCACCTACCGGAGCAATCCCATACCTCCAAAAGTCAAATCACCAACAAAGTGGCAAGAGGATGTTCGACCCTCCGCAATTGCCAGTTGCTGTGAAGGTACGGTCGAAATACCGGCCTTAGATGCGTCCTCACCTCGGCCAAGGGCACCAACAACTCTACCTGCGACGAATTGCCACCGACGAAATACGTACGACATTTCGCCGGCACACCAACTAGAGCGTTCGACAAAGGCTGGGGAACCGGTGCCTCGGTCTTGATCTCTCAGTCGCGTTTTCGACCTCCACATATTAGGGGTACGGCAGCGAAAGGGCAAGGCCGGAGGGGTGGACATTCTACAAAGTTTCTAGGATGACGAGATCGGCTGAAGGACAGAGAGATGCTGCATGAAGGAACAAAAGGGAATACAAACCGAGGAGGCCTTGGTGGGCGACCGGATGAGGCCTCCAGTGAAGAAAACGACCCCTGGATGAGATGAGGAGGTGCTGAGATGAGCCAAAGCTGGGACTAATGGAAGGTAAAAGTTATAGATCGCGAAGGTGTCAAGGGCTCGAGCGCGCGGTGGCCGAGGCTGGTGAGGTTCCGAGCGCGCGTTGGTTTGGTTTATTATTTTACGTCTATCTAATATAAGACCTAAGTAGGACATAAGACGCCAAAGCTTACTGCCCTGGATATCTGAGGCCTTTGACTGTCCAAACCTGAATTGCCAAAGCCTTTAGTTTTTCTGGGAAAAGGGTTATAGAAGGGTTATCCTGCTCCATAACATGAAATGAATTTGCGATAAAGTTTCTTGGGCATGAAAATACTGGGACAGCTAACTATCTATATATTTGAGTTAGGTTAAAGGGCCAGAGTGTAACATCCTTCTGTGCAAATTTCTAGTCAGCATAACCGTGGTGAGGTTCTGCTCTGTGTCGGGGGCAGATTTTTGAAAAGAATTCTGTATCTTGCAGCCACTGTGTCAATATTTTTGCTCCATCTTGACTACCAAATAGGTAACTAACGTTATCGCTGTAGCTCCTTGGAACTCTAGGTAGCCTTACTGAGGGAATGTGGTAGGTTAGGAGATGCCTTGGTGACTTGGGAGCCCCGCAACTACATATTTTGTGTGCGTCGACGTGTTTGAAACGTTCGTGGTAGGCAGCAAAGTCGCCATGCCCTGAGCGGGCAGCATAAAGATGGGCTACAAGGGAACGATTTAAGAAAAGTTCGCCCGGACATCGTTCGATGGTGTCAATTCCTAGTGCTCGATATGAGGTTGGGGCCTCCAGTGTCCAGAATTCCTCGAGAAGGGAGCCTGTTAATGATTTTAACCGGTTTTTGGCAGATGCCAAAGTTAGGGGCGTGGTTGAGGGTGGAGGTAGCATTAGGCCCGCTTTGGCTGCAGCATTTGCTTGTTCGTTTCCTTTAATCCCGGCGTGTCCTGGTATCCAGAACACTTTTATTTCACCTGTAATGGTGTGTGGGAGTCGGGGCCGGTTTTTCCAAGCTATTGCATACTCGGCGAAGTGGATAAACTTATTCTGTGAGGAGCAGATTGGAAAACTTTTTAATTTACATGCTACGTCTTGGTTATCTAACAGAACCCAGAGATTATTAGCGAGCCTAGCGGTAGTGAGGCCCAGAGCAGCTTCTACTGCGAGGACAACTGCAGTGACTTCTGCGTCAAATATGGTTAGTGAGGAATTGAGTGCTACCGACTTGTTAAGTAGAACTCTTCGAGCTTGGTGTAGAACTAACCCACCCCCGACGCGAGGCTCTGTGTCTAGCGAGGCTTGGAGTCTACTCCCATCGGTGTATGCAATGAGGTCCTTGAAAGGAATTTCAGTTGGCAAAGAGATTGGGTGCTGTGATATTCGTTTAATGCTATTGCGCCAGCTTTCTTTCATGGACCAAGGTGCATTGATTAGGGGATCTATGTCCTCTACTAGAGGGCTTGCCAAGACCCACTCGGAGAAACGGGAGACGCGGCTCTGATTTTTGATGACTAAGTTAGCTCTTCGTCGGAGGGAGTGCCTGCTATCAAAGCGATGTATTCGCAGGACGGCCTGGCGAGCTCTAGAGTCTAGTTCAAGCTTAGATGGCAAGAGGCAAGATTCTAGAATTAGTGCAGGTGTTGGAGTGGTCCTGTACACTGGGAGGATAGCTCTGGCACATTTAATGATGACTCTATGCAGGAAAAAAACGTGTCCTTCAACGCGATTCGAAACTGTGCGGGTTTGGTTAATTTTCCTATTGCAGCCTGGCCACCAGGTCTCTGCTCCGTAATAAGCGATCGGTAGGACGCAGGCTAGAGCAGCTTGACGAAGTAGGTAATGGGGGGCTCCTTTCGTTGTGTTGCCTAGAAATTTGAGTCCATTCGCGACTTTCAGGGCTTTACCAGCTAAGATTTGTACATGCCATTTGAATGTCAGTTTTTTGTCAAGGTATATTCCCAGCCATCTAGTGTATGGTCGCGATGTATTCTCAGTAACCTCCATCTCGCTGGACGATACTTTTGGGGTACTATGTGGATCCCTATCGCAG